TTTTTTTATAATAATATACAATAAAACCAATTTAAATGAAAACTTTTTTTCGGCTTTAAAAAATATGTGAAAAGTATGCTAATATTTGCGTTGAGATAAAAAGAAAAGAAAAGTATATTAACAATTAAATTAAATGCTTTTCCTCTTTTCCAATTATTCTGTCGGACAACTTAACTGGATCGTGTTATTGGCGTAGGTCACGACCCGCGCACATCTCTAATTCTATTTAAGGTTATGTCTGTGTATCTGTATGTACGTACGCATGTGTGTGTCTGTGTGCGTTTATCCAGACAATACGCAGGCAATATGCGAACAAAAATCTTACGTTTTCAATGTAAAAGCAAAGTTGGCTTTTATCAAGATTTGCATGTTGCACAGCTGTTGCCAATTAGCTGACTGGAAAATCCAATTGGAGACTTTGAGAGATAGGCTATCTAGGGTTAAATAATCGCAGTCCATTGAAATGCAAAAAACATCGAATGTTTCACGAATTTGACGCTCGCTTAACAAAGCCGGCTAAATATCAATAATTGCATACAAATCGCAATAGACTTTATAAGAAAACATTCCGAAATAACATTTATGCATACATACAGACATACACACACACACACACACACACACACACACACACACATATGTGCATATGTATGCGTGACTTTTAGCTTTGCTTGCCGGTGTTTGGTTTTTTTTTTTATTATTTCGTTTTTGTTTCACTTGCCGTTTATTTTACTTATATTTTGTTGTTGGAATTTTGATTTCAAACAATCGGAGGAATGGGCGGGGGGGAGGGGGGGGGGTGTGGCAAAATAGGTACTGCAACAAACACTTTTCTTCACACAAGTAGCTCGCTCTCTCTCGCTTCTTTCTTAGCCACTTTGCTTTGCGTTTTTCTCTCTTTTCTTTTCTTTTTTTTTTGCAAACGCTGCGAGGTTAAGTTTGTCTTTTTGCTTTGCAGCTGCAATCCGTTGGTGCTGGAGAGGCAGCTTATTTGGCTAACAACAGAAACAAACAAAAAAAAAGTATCCTATTAGCAACGATTTGTGTTGCACAGGATGCACACGCACACAACAAAATGGCTTTTTGCGTTTGGCTTTAATGTTGTTTTTGTCACCGTAAAAAAAAGTTTAGCAGAAGCTACACAAACGCGTCGCGTTGCAAAAATGTGCTAAAAAATGCGCTCAGCTGTCGCAAGAGCAGGCGAAATATATCGATATATATCGCGCTCATTATCGCTATGTTATGAACTCGTTACTCTGTGGCCTGCTAATAGAGATTTACTCACTTAACGAAATGCACTTAACGAACATATTCAAAAAGTGATATCAATAGGGATTAAGAAAATTGCAAAATTTTTAAATTTGCTACAGGCTACAGACTGGTGAAATAATAAAATGCTTTACCAAAGAGAATTATGTCACCAATCGGTTGCCATATAAGGAAAAAAAAAGTATGCAAATTGAGATATATTGAGCTTTACTTCCAACCGATCGCTTCTACGGCATTTATAGGATAAATTGGCCCGATGCGAATATGATTTGGCTATTTGTAAGGATCAGACTAATCAAGATATCTTGATAAGCAATAAAGTTTTACTTACAAACCTCCATACGGGTCGCTTGACAATATTTCGTATATTCAAATATTTGCGCACACAATTCAAATGCGTTGTTACAGCTGGATAGTATTTAACAGCGTACGCTTGTATTTAACAGTAGAAATCGATAACAATCGTTGTTAATAGCGAGCAGCTGTTGTGCACGACACACCGTTAAAGATTTAGACATACGCGTCTGTTAGGGCGGGATACATTTGATTCGAGCGAAAAAGTATAAATTAAACGCATCAAGATGTTCGGCTTATTTAATTTTTGGAATTCAGCAGCCTCTTTGACACCGGTTAGCTAACAATTACTACCATACTGTAGAGAGCATGCTCAAATGGTAAAAATGTCTTACAGCCGTCGAGAAATCGACGAACCGTTGACAGTCCCGAAGGAAACGCATCCATAGAGAATTCTGGCAGTGACGAGAACAGTAACATTGTCCAGTCTGATAACAATGAGAGTAGTGCACTGCAGGACAGCAACATGAATGGAAGCACTCCCAGCACCAGCGCCCTGAGTGCTAGCACCAGCGACTCGTCGTCTGCAGCCGGTGGAACTCCTGATTCTCCTCCAGTATTGGGAACCGTTCGTAATAGTTCAACCAATGGCCTGGGTAAGTAAGCACTTCAGAAACATGCATCTCTCTAATGTGGTCTACTCTGCTCTCCATGCAATTAACATGCGAGCTTAGGCAGGACTGTAAGAGATCATGATTGGCAGTCGCTTCGCATCGTTTCGCCGCCCAGAATCATAAGAGCTCGACTCAGCCCAGCTCCAGGTGCCTACCGTGAGTTCACTTTAAGGACATTTTCATCCAACTATGCGCGCTTGATATGCAAACTTACGTTTGTTATCCTTTTAGCTGGACAGCCAGTGGACTCGATCAGTCTTTCGGACAGTTCGGATAATACAAGTCCGCCAAGACCTCGCACTCCTATTCCGTTTGTAGATCTAAGCACACCGGAATACCCTCGCCGACGTGCGTTCTTTCATCGTCGCAGCAACCATCAAGAGCGGTTACCTCTGGCCCCGCCCGGCCCGGCTGTTGCATCTACCCCTTCGTCGACAAACAACAACAGCTCAACAGATGATATTTATAGATGCCCGGTGTGCTTTGAAAGTGTCCGCGACCATGAGCCTGCAACGACCGAGTGCGGTCACGTTTTCTGTCACGCTTGCATTGTGGCTGCGGTCCGTGCGACCAAAAAGTGTCCTCTATGCAACGAGAAGTTGACATTGCGTCGCATTTTTCGTATTTATTTCTAGAGCATGTGACATTACCCTTACAAAAGATACTCAAATTTGGATGTAAGAAATGAATGATTTGATGATATCCAGATTTCACTTAAACGTACTTACTATGATTCCTATTTTAGTTAATTGCTTTAATATTTATTAATTTGTGCATGTTATTTCAGTAACGAAACAAAAACAAAAAAATCGAATTACATGTTGTATAAAAAACCCGTTGAATTGTGTTCTTATTGTTTGGATTCTAATTGCAACGACTCTAGCTTAGAATATGGCCTAGAGTTTGGCTGCCTTTGCCTGATTTATGTAGATTTTGCTGTTTTTTATGAGTTCATAATTTGTTTATAAATACAAACAAATTCAGCATCTGCCAGCAGTTATTTATCTTAAACAGCAAACTTAAAATTATTGTAGCAGCTGAAGAGCGCATTGTTGCATTTTACAGCGCAGATCGATAACAATCGCATTTTACAACGATCAGCTGATGTTCTCGACACCGTTAAAGCTACTGACATACGCGTCTGTTTGGGCGGGATCCATTTGACTGAAGCGAAAAAGCGTATGTATATAAAGTACAACAAAATGTTCGGTTGGTTTAGTTTAGTTTTTCGTATTTGGCAGCTTTGACCACATAGATATTATAAGCATATGTATCTTACAGCCGACGAGAAATCGCCCGACTGTTGAGTCTCTGGAGCAACAACTACCCATGTGGAATTCAAGCAGCGGCAAGATTGGGAGCATTTATCTGTCTGTGGGCAGCGACATTTGAATAAGCGGACATAAGCCTAATTTACATGGATTTGAGGAACTCCTAAGAGCAAGGAATTCAGTTTGAACAGCTGCTGAAATTGCTGCAACTACAGCCCAGGTTGTAAGAACCGTCCGTCGGAATGCGTCTGCTGCCATCCCAGTTGTTGTTTTATCTACGCCTCAATTTGATGCCACAACGGCAACAGCAAGACAGCTCAACAGATGATATTTATGAATGCACGTTTGTTATCAACGTGCTCGGGACCGAGTGCGGCCACGTTTTCAGCCACGGTTGACGCAACGTGACCGAGAAATGTCCTTTTATGTAACGAGAAACTGATACTGCGTAGGACTTCTTGTATTTATTTTTAAATCGACTACCCCTTTCCCCTTGCCCACTTCGAATATACTCGATTGCATGCACAGACTTAATGCCAGCAGGATATGTATAGAGATTTAGCTGCAATGCATTTGAACGCGAAAGAAGGGATATCTTCGGCACGCCGAATATTTAATACCCTTGCAGGCCGAACCGTTTCGTAATTCTCATAATGCTTTGCTCGAATCTAAGAAGCACTGCGAAAATAGTTAATGCCGAGTTTGGACAAGATTTTTCATACAAAAACCTCATTTTCGACCGACAGTTCCTATGGCAGCTATATGATATAGTGGTCCGATCCAGCCGGTACCTATGTACTACGTGCAACAGAAAGAGTAAGAGGGACGTTTGCAAAGTTTCATAACGATAGTTTTAAAGCTGAAAGACTGTACTCCGCATATTTTGACAAAATTAGTGGATTTTTGATTCAAAAATAATAACCATATACAATCCCCGTAAAGAAGTCGCATTTCTGGAATGCTAAAACGGGTGCTGGCAAAAAATCTATTCCAATATTTATACTATATGCGCATGCCAACCGTACTATGCAATAAAAAGGTTCGTCATATGTAATCTTAACATTAAACATGAATTGAGCTAGGTAATATAACAGTGAGCTCATGACGTCACTCTGATAAGCAGTGCGAGTGACTTGCGCATTGAGCACCTTGTATGCTGCTGACAGCCCACCTTTGTATGTGTATCGACTGATATTATCGATAGTGTGTACTTGCACTCCCAAATAAAGTTGTATTACATTTCAAAAACAACAAAGCAGCAGACATAAGGGATTTTGTATTTAGAATCAATCAAAAATAATTAAATATATTAAAATACTGGAAAGTATTTTTCTTATGTTACCAGATATGAATTTATAGTACCTTAGGGCTGCCTATGATATTTTAAGTATCGATACTTACACGAAACCATCGATAATATCCACAACCGCTTGTCATCGCTAGGCAAGTAGATATCGCTCATCCCTAGTTGCTACTCAGTTCATTTTCGGTTTTTGTGCGCAGCGGAGTTACCTTTATATCAATTTCGAGGCGTTCGACAAAAATTAAAAACTAATTTATAGTAAAAGACGCGCTGCAGTCAACCTATATATATATACGTATATATATATATATATGTTAGCTGCAAATAACAAGCACAAACAACAAGAGGCGGCTACAAAGTGATTACGAATTTGTATGTTTTTATTGCCTTGTCTAAGTACATATAAGAGTTTTTGTTGTTTTTTTTTTGTAGTCGAAATATCAATTTGGTTGTTATTGTGTTGCTGCTGCTGCTGCTGCTGCTATACTGTTGTGATTTTTGTATATTGATGTGCAAAATGTGTACTGCGCGTGCAATTTCCCTTTGTCTGTCTCGTTTTATTGTTCTTACATTTTTTTTTACATTGTGTTTTGCTAACGCGTCATCGTTTAGATGAAAAATGCCCAAAAAAAAAAACGGCACACATTTTGCGCTTGATTTGGTGCGCTATGTGTGCGTGCGTGAGTGTGTGTGTGTGAGATAGATGCAGTAATTGATTAATTGCAATATGTGTCCTGCGCATTGTTAGCTTTAATAAACAAATTTTGTAAAAGCCGCCAAAAGGCGAACGATCTCAGTTGGCAGCAGCAGCAGCAGCCAGCGTCAGCGTCAAAGAAAGTGCGGCCTGGCTGTCAGTTTGTGTGCGTGTGTGTGTGTGTGTGCGAAGTAAAGGCAAAAAAAAACCAAGCCCAATGTATTCATGTATTTATTTGTTGCTGCTGCTGCCGCGGCTGTATAACGGCGCCGCATGGCGCATAGCAAAAGTGAAATTTCTTCTTGGATTTCTTTATTATTTAAATTTGTTGTGCCAGTTATTTGCCATTCTTTGTGCATTGTTGTTGTTGTTGTTGTTGCTACTACTGTTGCTGCGGTTGTTGTTGGCACTGTCACTGGCAACGCCTCTGCTCTCTGCTGTTTTTGCCATTCAAACATTGTTGCGAGCTTTTTTTTTTTTATCAACGCTATCAGCGGAAACATTTTGCCGCACCCCGCTTGACCTTATTCCACTCATTCACTCTCTCATGCACACGCATACGCACACGCACACACATTGCGTGGCTTCTCTCTTTAAATGCACCGCAACTCAACCGACCGCCCGCCCGCCTGCCTGCTGACGTCCTCGCTGTCTATCACCCGCATTTTTGTTTGTCGAGCTGAAGTTGACTCATTCTCTCACAATGCGCATTCCACATTCGCATTCACATTTTTTCTTCTAAGCGCCTAGAGAGCAAATTACTCTCTCGCTCGCTCGCTCTCTCTTTCCACCCACTCGCTCTTCGTTAAGCTTTTGCTATTTAAGGCCGAGCCTTAAACGCAGCTTATTTGCAACTCTCGCAGCTCTCTCCCAACTATCAACGCAACGTGCTTTGCCTCTGCTGCTGCTGCTGCTGCTGCTGCTCTCTGTCAATCAGCAGCAAATTTTAGATCGTACATGAACATATATGTATGTCACCTCTGCCCCCCCCTCTCACGTCATACAGCCAATGGCAGCTGTTTCTCATGCGTTTGCAAAAACGTGACTTCTGCACTTTGCGCATTTGAAATTTTATCTGAATTGCAGTTTCGAACCCGGAACTGTTAAAGTCACCAAACTGTATGCTTTAACATTCCGTCTTTGTTTAACATTCCAACTAGCACTTTTACATGGAACATTGGGGTACATATATGTAGATATTTATAGCTAAAGTTGGGGTTGAATCACTTTTTATGCAGAGCTTTTACATGCTCAAAACATTAGACCTCCATTTGATTGGAAATAGATGGAACATGTCGAAATTAATATTATCTCCATGTTGAGCAACTTTGAAAATAAGTTTGCACCAAATGGAATGCGTAAGATAAACTATTTAGACCATAGTTTTTCACTTTTTTGGGCTTCAAATCGTTCAGAATAGCTTCTCTTGCTTTACAAAAAGCTTCCACGAGATCTTACGATTTTACCACCAATTCCCAGTCAATCAAATTTAAATGAGGCTTTTATTAAGAGTTAGGTAATTTATTACTTTCTGTTAAAATGAAACATATATATGCCTGCGATTCCGAGAGTCAAATCTGATTAGTAATAACTACAGTTCTTATCAGAGTAGCAAGTCGTTGCCAGCCGTTGACGGCCAAAAACCAAAAACAAGTTCAAGTACACTGGATTTTCATTTCATGGCGCTTATCTAAGGAATGTCTAATTGATTGACTCACGCGCATAAAAACTTACAGTGATTTTATCGGCTTGACAAACCTATTACAAATGATCAGTCCATTATTTGCAGATACCCTTGTAGGAGTACCCTATTGAGTCACCGAATACAGAAGCAGACAGGGTATATGCATATATATTCTCGATCAGTATCAACAGCTGTCGATATGTAGTCGATGCAGTTTGAGTTGTAAGGCTTTCGTCATGAAACTTTTCGCAGTTCCGTCTTTTGGGCAGGCTTCAATAATTCGAAGTTAACCGAATCGGAAAGCTGCCTTTCTATTTTTACAAGATATATTGTAAATCGGACAATACCATAGCTTATGGCTACTATAGCCAAGCCAAGGATATCAAATCTTCAGAGTGGCATTTCGTTTAGTTTGCTGTTGCGTATCATTAAGAGCTAGAGAATATAATGACTCTGCCAAATAGTTTGTTCCGTCCGAAAGCCTTTAACTATTAAGCGGCAGCCAGAAAAAGTTATTTATCGATTTATGAATAAAATTCTGCTGATGAGTGCGTAAATAATAAGAGCTAGAGTCACCAAACTTGACATGTAGCTTCTAGAATAGTATATATCAACAGCATTGCAGTTGCGATTATATTGTTTTCTGTTCTGCTATTTTAATTCGTTTTTGCTCATTAAGACTAAATTGTTGTTGTGGCTGCTGAGTAGAGTTAGCGGCAAGTAATGCGATCAGTTGGGAGTTCGAGCCCTACCAAGGGAACTATTTTTATTTTATTAGAGAGGGTTCAGGGTATCCCCTAGTCGGGAGCTCCCGACTAGAACCTTTCACTTGTTTTTTGTTGCACTGTTTCCAATTCTTGATCTTAGGTCTCGTGATAGCCGCTAATTTTTCGCTTCTGTTTTTTTATTTTTATTTATTACTTTTTCTCTTCGCAAGGCATATGACGCTTTATTTTGGGGCCTTAGCTCGGTATCTAAACTTGATGCTAACTACAGCAACAACAATTGGAAACCTGATTTTTTTTCGCATCAATTCTGAGTGTCTCTCTCCCTTTCTCTCTGTCTCTCTCTCGCTCTCCCTCTCCCAATGACGTGAGAATGAATGTAAATGCTTAAATCAACAATAATAATGATAATTATAATGATGAGCATGACACAATTCGCTTGACGTCTTTTTTTTTTTTTTGTTGTTTTTGTCGTTTTGTTTTATTTTAAGTAAGCTACACTTTATCGTTCCGTTCTGCTTGTCTATTTGTCAAATGACTCCCAAAGTTCTCTCGCCTGCTCTCTGCTCTCTGCGCCTCAAGCATCATTTAAGTGCCCGCCGAACCGGCACTAGCCCAATTTATAGCCATCAAGTTGCGATCTGTGCCAATTTCTAATTTGGCCCTACGAATCGGGCTGACAGAAGAGACCATTAAAACGTAGAAAAAACAAAAGATACCAACGTTCTTTTGGCTAGCTTTTCTTGCCAATGGTTCGTTTCCTTAAGAGTTAAGAGCCCGAAGTAGTGTCAGAAGATTAAGTTTCTAAATTATAGTTATGCTTGTTGGATTAGTTATGAATAGCCGGCGGCGATCATTATCATTACCCAAAGAATTTCGTGGCAAAATAGGTTTTAAGTGTGTGGAAAAAAGCTGGTAATAAAGTTAAGCGAACGTTTAGTAGATCTTACGATATATGTACAAAAAATATACTCTTAGCTTTGCGACTATATTGATAACGTGACAGGATCTCTATCCGATCTTAAAAGAGCTATATATGCTATAAATCATGGACCTGAGAGTCGTCGTAGTCGTAGTCTTTTACTATGTCATATGCCTTATCACGTGAAATTATGATGGAAGAGAGAAGCTGTCGCTTCTTTCATTTTTCTTTCTCTTCAAATTCCCGACATCTTGTCAGAACAGAGCTTTAAAATAGCTTCTGATGATCGTGTTAAGACAGCATTATACATATGTGCACACACACACACACACACACACACACACACATACACGCATACACACATACACGCATACATCAACTTATCTGTTGGAGATCTTAACTCGCCGCTGCACATCAGGCTTTTTATCGTGCAGCGCTCTCTCAGCTGCTGCCTAGCTTTTAATTATAGTTTCCCCCTTTAGTTAGTTAGTCTGGCAACACTTCCCACGCCTGGGTTATGTGCGTGTGTGTGTATGTGTGTGTGTGTGTGTGTGTGTATGGTGTGAAATTCGCGTTATCTTTGGTTCGAAATTCCACTTGTTTGGCCACACTTACAATACTCAGCTCGGCACTGACTGGCCAATCGCCTTGAACTTGGCCAACATGTGCGTAGAAAGTTGGGCGACATCTAAACCAGTTTTTTCAGCTCAGATCGCGCCTCTATATATAGTGACAATGATGCAAAAGATGAGCAAATGGCAAATGCGATTCGCTGAGAGCTGACATATACGCATACATATGTACATATACACATAAACAACAACGACAAAAATTTATTATGAATTGAAGCTCAGAGCTTTCAAAAGCTGTTTAACATAATTCGCATTGTTTTGTTGTTGTCGCTCCCACTTGACATTGAAAGCGCCGACGGCAACGCCGACGCTGCCGTTGTCGCTGCGCATCACAGCACGCGACTGCGCAGCTGGCGGCGAATTCGCCGCAAAGCATTGTCGTGAGTCACGCGGCAAACACACACACATACACACACACACACACAAACTCTACAACAGCAGTTGCGTTCAGCTTGTTGCTGCGTCTTTTTCTCCCATTGCTTTTGTTGTTGTTGTTTTTGTCACAGCTGAGTGAACGCAGCAAAAACTTAACAGTTAACAGTTAACAAAACGCAAAGGCTATAAGAAAAACGGCAGAAATAACGAAATACAAAATTGTTCTTCTCTTAGTTTTTGTGCTTCATAGTGCTTATTTTTCTTCTTCTTCTTCTTCTACTTCTTAAGTGTCAAATGTGTCCCAAATGCGCTACGTGAACTCTGAGGGGTAATGCCGGGT